TCGAAAAGCTCTTGGTATTACCGGCAAACATTTGGTCTTACTATTTCGTTGTATTTTTCTATGTAGTATTCCCTTTCGCAATTCATATGTTTTGTCCAAATTTCTTGGTAACTCATTACTTTTTAACTTTGAAATTATTTCTTGTATCTCGGAATCTCGCTGTTGTTCCGAAACCAACCAGTTATCAGATACCTCAGTCAAATTGATTCGTAATTCAGGTACCTTATTCAAGATTTTATGTTGTTCAAGCACTGGATTTCGAGAGAGAAAATCAACATGCGCCATCCGGTCGCCTTTTCTATACTCTATTTCGAAATCAAACGCCTGTAAAAACGCCCACCATCTATGCACCCTCGGTGTTAAATCTAGTTTTGTGCGGCTGGCCTTTAATGAATTACAGTCGGTAAAAACTATAAATTTACGTCACTGCAAATAATGTCGGAAGGTGTTAATAGCATTTACCACTGCTACCGTCTCCAGTTCGTACGAATGGTATTTAGATTCGGCGGGAGACGTACACTTACTGTAATACTCTACCACATGATCGCTCCATACCCAATACAACTTGCGTCAGTATGTAGCTCTATTAGGTATTGCGGATCGAATATGATTAAAACTGGCGTCTGAGTCAATATAGTTATTATTTTTATTATTATTTATTATTATTATTTATAACCAAACAAAGTTAGTGTTTTTCTTAGAGGTGAGAAGATACAGGGGTTTAAGTGTTTGGGAGAAATTTAACACAAATTGCCGAAAAAATATGTGGCTAAACCAATGCATTGCCTTAGCTGTGACACATTTTGGGGTGGTGGTAATTCTATTAAGGCTTGAATTTTTCGTGAATTTTTCAAATCCAAGATACTCTATTCTTGTGGTGAGAAAGGAACACTTAGTGACATGAAATGAAAATCCAGCCTTACTTAATGTCTCCAATACTGTCTGCAATCTAACTAGCGCATCTTCTTTGCATTCTGCTATTATAAGAACATCATCTATATACACAATTGCGTAAGTGTAAGCTAAAGCTCCTAAGGCCTTCATTACAGCCCGCTGGAACACAGATGGTGTGTTCTTCAAACCAAACGGCATTGTCAAGAACTCGTATTGACCCTCTGGCGTTACAAATGCAGTTCGTTCGATTGAGTCCTCATGAACTGGAATTTGGTAAAAGCCGCTTGCCATATCTATGCACGAAAAATATTTAGCACCACGAAGTCTAGCAATTTGGTCTGAGATGAGGGGCAATGGGTACTTGTCAGCCACTGTGTTTTCGTTAAGCATGCGATAGTCCACACACAGTCGATCGGTGCCATTTTTTTTTTAACTAGCATCATGGGACTAGCGAAAGGTGAACAACTTGCCCGAATAATTTTGGCTTTTAGTAATTCGTCAACTTTACCCCGCACTTTGTTTTTCTCTTCTTCACTAAGCCTATATGGCCGCCGTTGTACGGTCTTTTGCTGATCTATTAATCTAATTTCCAACTGCCCTGTGGTAACCCTAGTCTTTGGTATTCCATCAATAAACCAATCTGAATAACATTTTAAAATATTTATCAAGGCTGCCTTATCAAGATTATCAAGTTCACTATTTGATTCTATGACATCTTCATAATTGGTAATTACTATCGATTCTACTCTTTTGGTTGTGTAAATTTGAACTCTGTCAGCGTCCATGGTTACGCCAAAGCCCTGGCTAAAAATTTCACTACCAATTAGTACGTCATGTTTCTAATACTTGTCCATAATAACATGTAACAAAATCTCAAAATAACATTGATCAATATTTATATTACATAATAGTTGTTGAGTACTACATATTGAATCATTACTTATGCCGTTTAATTTAACAATGTTATTAATCCTTTTACCACTAAATTTATCGGCGACGCTTTCCTTAACCAAGGAACATTCAGCGCCAGAGTCGAAACAAAATGGAACGGGCTCACCGGTTGAAGTATTTGTTGTTCCTGATGGTGGAGCTACAGTACAGATGTCCACACGTTTCTCGATTACTCGGTCGTTTCCTCGTGATCGTCCTTTTGGACAAGCGGATGCGAAGTGCCCAAGCTCGTCGCATTTGAAACATTTGACAGTTGACCGGTCCTTTGATCCTTGCGTTGAACTTCCGTGGTGGCTCTTTCCTTGAATTGGTATCCTCTGCCGAGCACGACATTCGGCATACTTATGTCCAGACTTTCCACAATAGTTGCATTTTACTTGAGAGAGATACTTAGACTTTTTACGCTCCGGGCCTGTTGTAGATGCATTGTCATCTAGGTTCCGTTTTTTAAAAGTGTGCGCTTGTAGTTGTTGTTGCATTTCATTTCGAGTTTTAATGTTGTTTGTAAAAACCCAGCGCGACAAGTTGTCATCAATTTGTGCCATGTGGGCCAGAGCTAGTGAAACCGCAATTTCCTCCAGATCATTAGATTTAAATTTTGACATTAGTAAGGTGACGATTCGGCTCCCATATTCGGTGTAACTTTCTCCAGACTTTGGTCGCCCGTTCAAAATTTTCATCAGTGTGGCAGCAGACGTTTCGACGCCAACAAAGCGTTGAATGAAGAGTTCTTTAAATTGTGGCCATGTGATGCCAGCAAAACATATCTGGGACAGCCATTGTGATGCACTTCCCTCTAGCGCCTTACTTAAAGTTATCATAAGGCTGCTACCTTCGGGCATTTCATCAGCAAAAATAAGATCCACTGTTGTACACCAAGCTGAGGCATCTGCACCAGCTCCCTCAGGATAAAATTTTGGCAGAGTTATATGTTTCCCCTTTTCGTCAGTTGCCGATGCCCTTGGTGTCTGCATATTTTTGATGATCTCCATAAGGTTGTTGTTTTGCACTTGTAAAGCTGCCAAGTATACATCGGTGATATTTGTAAGCAAAGCAGATCCCGCTTCTGATGTCGCAGAGTTGATATTTTCTTGTGACTGGTCTTCCATGTTGACACACAAACTTTCCAAGTGAAGCGAATTCCAACCGGCGTGCGCAATCGTCTAAATGCAACTAACTGGCATTTTCTGCCCACACATCGATCTATGCTTCTTTACACACGCCAGCTGGACTACACTCGGCGACAGCGCGACAGCGCCGTCGCCTCACTCGTACAGTATTTAGGCGCCAGTAATATTTTACGTTGTAGCCAAATTCTACGTCGTAGACAGGTTCTAAGAAGGATCTCACAATATACCAAACTCATTGCGCAGCAGCTTCTTGCAAGCACAGTGGTCAAACTATGTTCCTAATGTGACAGACACGTACAGTGGTCAAAATACGTTCATTATGCGACATATACTTTATGGGTTCGGAAACGCTTCCATCTACCTGTTACATACTTTCCGACGCATCTAGTATACCCTTTTATTTTAAGAGTAAGGGGTATAACTACAGGTAAGACAAGTGGAAAAGTATATCCCCTAGAGAACATTTTCCCAAATTTTCATAGAGATCCGAATAATATTGTAGTTCGACGATGACTTGTAAGTTTGTCTGCTCGACTTCAATAGTTGCATATACTCAACGCAAAACTTTGAATGCGATTATCTCAATGTCGTGTTTTTCCAAAAATGCCTTTGCTGTGACCGCGATTGCACAAGAACTATTTGATCGATCTTCTTCATTTTTTTTTTAAATTATTCGTAATGATTGTGCCGAGTTCGTGAACGATTCAGTTTTTATGCGCCAATTTTGATTTTGCAGATCAGAATTTTTTTAATAAAATTTTAAGAACTCGAAAAATCAACTTTTTGGAAAAATCGTTACTGTATGCGGAAAAAACCAAATATTCTTGAAGATAATCGTTCACGAACTGAAAATAATACTATACTAATAAAAATTTTGTGGTTTTTTGATATCAGTTGACCTGCTTGACTTCCATCGTGGTCACCGCAAGCCGCTATAAAAAAAAAGGGTTCCGAGAGAATTGCCATAACATCGTAAATTATTTATATTTTTTCAAGAACAAACGCTTGTTGTTTCGATAAAAACATGAACTATCAATAAATAATAATTTCAGTGTCATAAAATAATTGCTACACACCTGAAAAAAATCCAAAGTTCCCTCAATTTTTTCGCTCAAAAAGGTATATAACCCCTTAAATGAGGTTTATGATCGAGGTAGGTTCTGTGTGCTTCCCTATTATTGGTCCCTGATATTCGGAATCATACCTTCATATATAATCGTTAAAGACATGAGTTTTAAAATTCAAACGGCATAAAAAATAAGGCCATTATAAATAAAATTTGTATTTAAAACTTTTACTCGCTTTATGAGGTAAAAGGGAACTAAGCCAAAGAAGTGCAAATGGGTTTTAGCTAGTTTTGATGAGTACTTCCCTTACGTGAAGTCCAAATTGCGGTTATGTTTCATGATTGCTCAGTGGATTATAAGTAGGACGCGTTCAGCAGAATAACATGATAACTGAGAACAAATGGATTAGTTTTCAGTGATCAAGTTTGTTCTGCTGAACGCTCATGACATAAAACTCCACTATAAAGTTCAAATATTTTATATGTTGAAGTTTTTGATACTTACTTTACAAACAACAAGTTTTAAATTAAAATTACGTTTGCATCATATAAGTAATCATGTGCCTTCAGCACAAATATCGTATGAATTCCTTCAGTGATTAGGTATCATGTTGTTCTGCTGAACTCGGCCATTGACTTCAATGATTTGGAATTTTTCACGTGACTTCACTTGGGAGATTTTACGAGATCGTCACCGTACCTCACTCGTCTAATTATCTTATACCCACCCTATGCCCACATAAATACAATGAAATGTAAGACTTGCATCTTTGTGGTCAGCGGGAACTCCTACTTTATAGGGTCGGAAATCTCCTCCTACGTTGCGAACCTCTTAACAAAATTTAATTCTCTCTGCAAGGGTATACAAATTGATGTAAAGGACTTAAAATATATTTGTTCGTAAGATTAAATTCTGGTGATAAATATATGAGTCGGGCCATAATTCAGTAACAGCTTACCTTTCGATTAATTCTGTCAATTTGACGGTTTTGATTTTCCAGCTCAGAACCCATATCCAGTGCCATGTTGCGGAGGTTGCCTATCATTGTGTTTACTTGACCCATGTTTTCTTCCATTTCGTCCTCTCTAGCATCATTCGTTATCCTAAATTAAAATTTTTTTTTTATTACATTGCTTAGTTACTTTGAACTTATGTAAATATAGACTAAGGCTATATAATATTTTTGACTTGTACCATTGAACGTTTAGTGTATGCTGTGCATTTGTTTTATAATCTCCTCGAGTCTCGTCCTTATAGTGTTCCCTTTGCATGTATGATTTCGAAATATCTTTGGACACGATGAGCGCATATGTTTCGGCAGTACGGCACGGTTTACAACGGCAAAATCGGAAGCTGTTTGTAATAATTATGCCCGTTACTCGTAGAGTATAAGGGTATATTCGATTCCCCGAAAAGTATGCTGGTAGAAGATGCCGTTTCCTACCCTATCAAGTTCATATATTTTATATCTAGCCATGTCCGTCGGTCAGTCCGTCCACAGACCCTAATAACGCTAAAATATGTATGTTGCGAACATTTTTAAAGATTTTGCAAAGTGTAAATGGGATCTCGTTTTGTTTATCAATACATATATACCCTTTTACAAATTATTCAAATCGGACATTTTATTAAAAAGTTTACTTGCGAGGCAAATGAATACAGCAATGTTACGCATGTTTGTGGTTATTAAAAGATCGCTGCCTCGATCGGAGAATTTACTGATTTTGATGATAATCTCTTTAGCCCTTGACGGCCACATAAAATAGCTGCCATAAAAATGATATGCAGGGGAATACAAATGTCAGCTTTCCAAATTACACTTGGTTTCTCATTTGTTTCTTGTAAACAAGCTAAAGATTTTGTAAAAAAGTAAATAGGAATTTGTTATGAATAGCGTTTTAGCAAAACATTTGCACATCTGAGCACTCAATATAAACTTATAAGAATAAATAAAACTCTTTTTTAGGGATTTATAAACAATAAGTAATATATTAAAAACGCAGAAAATAAGCGAACTAATCAAAAAATTTTACGGTTAAATTGACATTGACTTGCCGATTTTTGCTTCTCTTTTTGGTATTTATTAAAAGTGTAGTGTTACCTGCCGATATATCCCGCTTGTGCCATCATTCCATTTCTATCATCCATGACTCTTTGCGGTTGATTATTTACAACTTTTCCGTCATCGTTACCTTTCCAGGTGCCATCATCTTCTTTGAATGATTGACTTCTGCAAGGATGTATATAAATATATATAAATAGAAGATAGTAGGGTAAGGTGACGGTAGCGTAAGGTGACGAACTATTCAAATCTTACATGTGACGTCACGTCAAAAGTTCCAAAGAATAGTAGCCGATTTCTCTTATCGAGCTGACAATGTATTTAAAATAATAATTTTAAGAATTCGCGTAATTTGTTTGTAAGATAATCATACTTACTCGTAGAGTAAAAGGGTATACTAAATTCGTCACAAAGTATGTAACAGGTGGAAGGATGCGTTTATAGAGTAAGAGTATATATATTCTTGATCAGGATCACTAGCCGAGTCGATATAGCCATGTCCTTCTGTCTGTCCTTTTGTATAAACGCAGTGATCTCGGAAACTATAAAAGCTAGAAATTTGGAACTTGCAGATTCGTGGCTTCTTGCGCAGCGCAAGTTTATTTCAGCAGGGTGCACCGCTCACTCTAACGCCCAAAAACCGACAAAAACTGTTGCGCTCACTATTTTCATACTAGAAAAAACATTTTAACTGAAATTTATTTGTCTCGTCAATACCTATCGATTGACCTAAGAAAAAGTTTCATAAGTTATTAAGAACGACCACAAACAAGCATATCACTAAAACACGTCTAGCGCCCACTTTTTTAATGTTTCGTAAAAACGCAAATGGCATTTTGGTTCAACACCCACATACATGACCAAAAATTGTTTAAGTCGAACCACCCTTTGCAACTTATAAGCAAACAGGAAAATCGACGCTAGGTAGCGCTATTTTGGTGTGTGCGCTATGGAGAACAGTCCCTTTGCTGCTTGCATATCTCCTGTTCCACTTCCTTCGCACTCCCCTTAGTCGAGGCCGTCGCCTGTAGCGTACTCTCTTGATGCGTCTGGAATTCACAGACCGACATAGAGAGCAACATATAAGTTTTCACTGAAAAAAATATAAAGCAAAGATCTAGGAAAAGGATATAATATAAAGTTTTATATTTACACAATTATAGAACATCTACAATCAAGCACAAACAAATTTTATACCATGGTTAGTATTGGTTATTCTTTCTCATAAAAATTCCCGGTCGCGGGTTCTTTAAAGAATTCATGTAAATTAATTTTGTAAATAGTCGTTGACTTAAAAAAATAATGTTTTTTAAATTTATATTTGTTGTTGTTAGACTTTTATTCACTTAACTCACTATTACACAATACACACACAATTACACAAGACCTTTTTACTTTCTATCTTTTTTGAATGACCGTTCACGGCTTTAATCCAAAATAGACTGACTCCTTAACTCTAAAATCTTATCCAACGAACATCAGCCAAAAGCTTTTATTTTTCAAGCATCTAAAAATTTAATTTTTGTTTAAATTAAAAGCTTATGCTGAAACTGTCGCACCCCGTTGTGAAATGAAATTATGCTGACCGATGAAATTTGATTGAAAATTGGAACACAATATGATCTGAACTTAGAACGCAAAAGCTTGGACTTTGATCGTGAGAGTTTGGCAGGACAGTCAAGCGCGGCCCTCGAATTTAATGACAAAGGCAAAGGCTAATATCGCCGAAGGCAATATCGCTGAGATTGAATTAAAAAAATTCTTTATTAATTCCATAAGTGGAACAGTTTCACGGGGTGGATAACTCTCCCCCTTCTAAAATTGACCGCCCGGATTCATCATAACTCTATTTGTTTAAGCGATGTCTTGATTCCTTTACAAATTCTTCTTCGCTAATAGGTTTTCCTAGTTCTGGCCGTTGTTTTTTGGTTAAAAATATATTTTTGTATATAATAATTGGTTAAGAAATCAAATTACTCAAGTTAATAATATAAAAAATATAGATATTTTGGTATTATTAAGTTTAATGAATGGATTAAAAATGTTTATACTATCCAAAGAGAGTTCTGAGTTATATGATAAAATATAATCATATATTTCATAGTATTTGAAGTGGTTCGTAGTTAAGAATTCTGTTCTCTTAATTGGTATATGAGTAGTTATTAAATTTGGTTGTACCATTTAATGTTATTAGGAACGATCCGTTTAATTCGGAGTTGTTGACTATATTGTTACCATTTATTAAAAGTGTACCATCTTGGATAATGTCTGTTCTTTTTGTTTGTGCCTAGCCGAAGTAGACACTTCTGGGACAAGGCGGTAGTGAGCACTTGTCGCTGGCAAGGGGACGCTTTGATCGCAGTTCGATCGCGTCGCGGCAATGGTAACGATGGTTACTACGAAGCCGGACCACAGGCGATGCGGGAACTGCACTACGATCGAGCTAACGTAGTTTAGCTGCTAGTTGAGATAGTTTAGGATAACGAGCTCTATTCCCGGTCGTGAAACTAGAACCGCGGCGTTAGAAGTTGCGTTGATAACTGATTTATTCTTAAATTTATACATGCTTATATAGTACTTGGAACACAGAAGTTTAGAATAGTGAAATAAGATATATTCTAAAGAAGGTCAGGGAGTTTTGATTATGGAAGCAGTTTGCCTAGTTGCCTCGGCTGACACTGCAAATTTTGCTGACTGCATTGGTGGGTCGGTGTACCGTTGAGTCGGTGAGTTAGTGAGACACATAGTATGCTGATTATTTATTAATAATTTCCCATCGGCTTGGGAAATGGCTCTAGTGTAATATATCTCGCACTTGTGTTTTATTTTTTGGAACTTTTATAAATTATTAAAAGTTCTGCAGGGTCCTCTTTTTAGAAAAGATAACGCTGACTTGAATAGTATGATAATATGCTTTATTCACATTCGACTGGTTAACTTAGGTTTTACAAAATATACGTGTGCTATAGAACTGTCCGAGATTCTGGCAGCGAGTGAGTATGTCGGTGCGTGGCCACTTTTCACTCACGTTGAAACTGGGTATCGAATACAACTTAGGAATATCGAGTGTTACTTAGGAATATCGAATACAGAAAGGGAAAGATATTAGATCAGTAGGTGAGACCGCTTCTAGTGGTCATTGTCTCTCCAGTACCGCATCCCAAAATCGGCCCTCCTGACGCAGGATTCGTCCCGAATGCCTTCATGCACTCTGCTATGGTATCGCAGTACTCTTTGAACAGGTGGGATGTGAATGCAGCTCCACGATCTGACACTATCCTATGCGGATTTCCAAAACAAACAGCCTGGCGCTCCAAACAAGTCACCACTTCATCAACCCCTGTGCTTCGTGTAGGATACAAGCATACGTACTTGGAAAAGACTTCTACAATCACGAAGATGTGATTATATCGTTTTTTGGTTAACTCCATCGGACCAACATGATCTACATGGTATGTGACGAGCGGCTTGTCTCCTTTGTCTATCGGTGTAAGAAACCCTTCTTGCCTACCAGCCTTCGCATTCACAAGGATGCACTCTACGCAGCTATCGACCACTCGCGCTACTTTATCTTTTAGCTTCGGAATGTAGAACGACTTCTCAATCAAATCCTCAGTTTTATTAGATGAGAAATGTCCTTTCTTGTGACTGTTTTGGATAATCTCGGTTTCCATGAGTGAAGGAAATATTAGCAACTCTTTATTAGGATCTTCAAACAGAAATTCGTTCACTATGTAGAAGTCTTCATAGCCTTTGATCTTAACGACACTTTTAAGCACCTTTGTCCAATCATCTAATAGCTGTGCTTCCCGCAAACGATGAAACAAACTGTCAGTCAACGTATAACATGACACCCTACTCAACGCATCGACGTGTCTCATCTTCGAACCTGACCTGTGCTCTATTTCGTAGTCGAAATCTTGTAGGTACATCGCCCATCTAGACACTCTGAGCGGAATCTCTTTCTTCTTCATGGTCATGGTAAAACGTTACAGTCCGTAATAATTTTAAACTTTTTTCCAATAACTGCAAGTACTACCAGTTCATAGGAATGATACTTTTCCTCACATAGCTTGGTTTTACGGCTCATGTAGAAAACTGGATGCCACAAGTTATCACAGGGATCTCGTTGAAGCAAAACGGCTCCAAATCCGAATTTGAATGCATCGGTATGAATTTCCATGACAAGCGAATGATTATAGAGCTTAAAAACCGGTCCACTGACCAACGCTTCTTTTAGCTTTTTAAATGCTGCTAATTGCTGGTCCTGAAACTCGAACCTCACATCCTTGTGCAACATGTCGCTTGGCAATTACGGCGTATCCTAAAAATCTTTGGACTCATTTCTTGTCGCGCGAAATCGGAAAATCAGCAACTGCTTGAGTTTTCTCATTGCCTGGCTTGATGGTACCGCTTTCAACGACGTAGCCTGACACTTACTCCAATTTATGCGCAAGCCATTTCCTTGTGCCACTTCCAAAAATGATAACATCGTCCATGTATACAACCGCATCCTCGTTCTTAATTGAATCACGCATAACTGCCATGACAAACCTGGTAAACACTGCTAGAGAGTTTGTTATACCGAAAGGTACAAACAGGAACTCATACTGACCACTCTGAGTTACGAACGATGTATACTTTTGGGATTCTGGCGAAACAGGCAGGTGAAAGAAACCATTAGTCAAATCTAGAGTTGTAAAAACTTGCCCACCCTGTAGCTTTTCGATCACACAGTCCATTTAAGCTGTTGGGAAGTTATCTCGAACAATCTTTTCATTTAACTTTCTATAATCGCAACACAAGCGCTTCTTCCCGTTCTTCTTATCTACAAGCACCACTGGCGAAGCAAACTCAGATGTACTAGGATGATTATCCCTTCCTCTAGTTAATCTTGAACTTGGTCATCGACAATCTTCTGATCGCAATAAGCTAATCGTCTCGGATGTTGGAAAACAGGCAGATCGTCTGTCAACAAGATCTTCATTTCGACTTGGGAAGTGAGTTTTCTTTCTGGCTTGTAACTATCGATCAATGACTCCACTTCAGAAGATACCTCCTGACTCAAATCCAAATCTACTTCCGAGACTGTTAGAGTCTTTCGTGCTGATCATGCATGGACTTTCGAACTCGCTAATAAGCTGCATACAAGTACTTTGCCCTGCCTGGTTATCGTCTGATCCTGTCATTGGTCTTTGCTGAACACTTCGAACTCTTGGCGAAAATATAGTGCCAGACTTGGTTACCATCATGTCAACGTTGTTTAAGATTGTTGTGCCTAAGATTGCGTCAAACTTCATATCATCATCAGGTATAACATGAAACTCGACCGACATGTCGATTCCATCGATAACAACCTTTGTAATGAAGCTTCCGAATGTTAGGACCTGACTTTCACCGATACCTGTCAAAACTCTCTGACTACCCATCAGACTGCCTACTCCAACGCCTAGCTTTAAGAACACACTCCTACGCATCAAACACAGTTCAGTACCTGTGTCCACAAGTCCCTTGAATTCTGTATTCCGACAAATCACAGATACAATTCCAAGCTCGAAGAAAAGGACTCACGCGATGGTTGTGAAACGACTTTATCGTTCTAAACGACATTGGTTGGTCTTTCTTCATGTGCGACGAATCCCCACACCGAAAACATTTCCTAACTGATCCAGCTACTGCATCTTGGCACAGCCTTGCTACCCTGTAAACCATACTTGTTTAGTGGTTTGAATGATCCACGTGATTTTTGATATGCGTCGATATGCAGATCATGTCCACCTCGATTCATGAACATAGTTTTTGTGTTTAGAAGGTATTAAAAATGCTGACCAATTATCTGTCCTTTAATTTGTTCAATACATTGGTCAATTTCCTCATGAAATTTCATTTAATAATTTTGTTTTCTTGTTGGTCCCTACACATCCAGTCTCAACTTTAAAATGATGTTTAAAAATTATTTTATTTTTTTGAAAGTTCTTTTATAAAATGGTTTACCAAATTGCTGTCTTTCGAGATTTTGTATTTAGCAAAGTAAAATAATATGGTGGTTCTATTAAAACACTTTTATTCAAGTTTGGATATTTTTCAAATACAATTCCAATTTCATTTAGAATAAAATTATTATTATTATCAAAGAAACCTTGAACATCAATCGAAACAGTATCTTTCAACATTTTTCTAATGTTAAACAACTCGTTGTACTAGTCCGTTTAATGGGTTCTATTCAACTAAACGGTCATGTATGAGGAGACAGTAAGCTTGGGTATTTTCATGACTTGGTGTCTTCAGTTCTATTGAAATTCTCACATCAATAGGACCAGTTTTCGCTGATTCGTTTTGATATAAAAGATCAACCACAATAATAGGGGCCTTCAATTTAAATTCATTTCGGGTCAAAAATTGTGTGTGACTTACGATTATAGTAACTAGATTGAAATCTTGTATACATTTCATATAGGTGAGCATACTGATTCTTATTAAAATCAACATTCAGATTATCATATGGATATAAATCAGAATTCAAGGGAACTTTCAAGTTTGATAAGTTATTTGTGATAAGTTCTCCATTTAGTGTAAATCCAATTATGGCAAATCTTGGTTTTTCGCGGTTAGCCGACAATTTCACATTCCAGCTGTTTTGACTCCCATATCCCAATTTGGGGTTAACATATGAATCCCAACTCCGGAATGCGATTGGAAGGTTTACACCACTTTTAATAATATCGTAAATCTTAATTTTTGCCAAATCGCTCGGAATTACATGGGGAATTTTCCAGGTTATATTCGTCATTTCCAGCTTAAAAGTTTGTTCATTTCTGGTTTGTTCAAACACATCAATAAGATTCTTAGTTAGCATCAACACTAGTACGTGTTTACAATTTAACAAAACTTTTTTATAATCCTCAGCAAATCCCAACAAATTTTTTTATGGTACAGAAAAGTTAAAGTGGGGTCCCGAAGAAATTTATTCTCCACTGTTCCATCCAGAATTTAATAGATTTTGACTTTGAAGATTATGCAGAGATATATATCTTTTTAAGGGTTGTAGTCAACCGACAAATCGTGTTTTATCAATTTCACATCCATTTATTTCGTACTAAATTTCATCCAAAAAGTAAGCCATACAAATATTTTTGAAAAAAGTGGTAACATTATCCGTTGTAGGTTTCTAATAATTCCTTAAAAATTAAGGTAACTTTCGTAAGGAAGGACGTACCAGTCTTGATTTTGGATAGTAATTCTAATTTTATCGTTTGGTTTAAATGTTTGATTATACGATGAACAGGTATGAAACTCTTTCTTCGTTCTTTCATCTGAGTAAACTTTTTCTTGAACATTTAAAATTTTGTTCATTGTTTTCCTTTTTACCTTTTTTATTATACTCGAAGCTTTAATCCTAACGACTTTAAAAATAATTCGTTTTTAAAATAAGTGAGCTTCTTTTTACTGTTGATCCTCTTTCTATAACTTTACAATTAGTTATGCTTGGCTGAACACTTAAGCTACGTCTTCTATTATAAATAATCATTCTATTAACCGAATGTGCATGCGAACCGAAACGTATTCACCACGTAAATTCACGAAATCACCGTTTTGATCAACTATGCGTAACAGTGTGCTTTAAACCTAACAACAGAATCAAGGGTACACGAGCATACTCTATGTGTATTCCTTTCTAAAATATTTTTTTTATAGATTTTTAAATCTTAGTCATCATAGATTTCAGGTTTTCTAAGAAAAATTAGAGAGTACAGAGTCAGATCACAACTCATTCCACTAAAAAATGTTATTTTATAATCTTTAATTTTTAATGAATATCGGCCTCTCCTGTATACATTGGTAAATGTGTTGTCCCTTCATCTTTACTCTTTTCCGTCTCATTTTTCTCATCTTCTATATCTTCCTCTATATTCGTCTCTCTATCTAGCTCTATCTCATCATCATCGTATTTTTTAATTTGCTTCAATTCATGCTTTACTTTTATACTAACTTTTACATTAGAAATCTTTTGTTTTTTTTCCCTTAACAAGTTCATGTAAGGGTTTAGTAATGGGTTTAAAAGTTTCCTACAATTGTAAATTTGTAAGATTTTTGACATGTTTGAGATCATCGAATTTTCGCTTCAAAGCAAATCTAGCTTTGGTTATATGTGACAAAATATTCATTGTAGTATATTTTACAAACTTTATAGGTGAAAGATTTAAAATTTGCCAAATTCATGTAGTCACTCCTCAGTTACTAAACAAATACTTTTTAGGGAACGCCATAATCTGTTATATTTATATACCATTTCCAAATAAAAAAGATTCGATACATTTTGTTCATTATATTTAATTTATTGTTACATTCTTAAAATCTCAATATTTTTAATGATTACTGACTTATTTCCAAATACAAATTGTCATTACTTTTGTGACTATTAAATTTTCCATCAACCATTTTATTGATGATATCATCCTGAAGAGAGGTGTACCCTTCCGGCATGTACAGGATGTGCTCCTCCAACTCGAGAGCAATAGATTCTCCAATCTTTGTTGTTTTTCGTTCCGCCTTGAGGATCGGGAATCTTACATTTTCAGGCATCCATGTCTTCAATAGCAGTGTCTTCTTATTAAATTTATTGAACTTTTTAACTACAATATTTATCTGGCTTTCCTGATTCAGAAATGGTTGTTGAGGTTTTCGGACTTGGTATAGTTGTTACACGTTAATTTAGCTGTACTTTGATGTTTACTACCTGTTTAGCAGTTGTTCAGTACTTGTTTAGTAGCGCTTACTTGTTGTTTTAGCTGGTTACTAGCTGTTATTCGATTGTTACTATCTGTTTAGTAGCTGTTAACTAGTTGTTAACTAGTTTTTATAAGCTGGTCACCAGCTGTTTTGAGCTGTTATACTTTTTTGTTAGGAACGATCAGAAATTCTTGTCCTCTAGATGACGTTCGATGTGAAGTATAAACTTAGATTGTGAATTTGAACGCGTGCAGGTTCACTTTTTATTCTATACAGAGTTCACACATACACGTACAAATACACTGATTTTCAACTCCCCAAATGTAAATTAACCATTTAAATATAGCGGCTTTGTTGTATGTATCAAAGTCTTGAACTCTATGGTAATTGTTTTGTATTCTATGTCCCAAGTATTTTATAACTTCCCTAGGTGGCTGAAGACTTCCAAAACTATCGAAATAATGTAATGTAATTTTTATTTTTATTATATGCAACCCAATGTGTACCACTTGATCGTGAATTATCTAGGTTTACTTTACCACACTCCCCACTTTTTGGTGCTTCTGGGAGTAGATCTCTCATAAACACCCCTCTAAAATGTGGGATATATTTCTTAGCAAAATGTATAATGTTAATATTTGATAGTGATCTATTGGGTAGCAGAGAAATTAGTTTTTTCGCTTCTTAATTCCTTTTCCCTTACTATAGGGCTTAAGAAAGAAACCATAACCCTTTCTATAGGGCTTAAGATATAATCCTTCTCTTACAGCAACACTTTCAATTTTCCTGTTGTGACGTTTTTTCTCCTCCATATCTTCTTTAGGCATTCTCGCATTGTTAATTGTTTTTGCAATTGCTGCACTACCACTTGCTAAACTACCAAGAGCGCTGAGGGCTGTGAAGATCTCCACGATTGGTAGAAAACCTAAAATTTTTGGTACATTAATTACACGAGGTACTTTAACATTTTTCTTAGAACCCATTGATTGATGAATTGATTTACGTGCAACTTTAATTGCACTCATAATGTCTAATGGTTTTTGTTTTTTCAATGTCTTAGGACCAACATCAATTACAGTCGAAGGGTTTGTCTTCTTAATTTTATTCTTCATTATCTTTTTCCTCCCTTTCTTTTCCATTTTATTTAATTTTAAACCAACTTTTTTCTTGGCTTTCATTATATTTGTAACAAAGTATGCTGCTGCTTTTTCACCAAGACTGCTATCTGGTGCCTTGACACGCGACCAGGCTTTGTCAATTAATATGGAATCTGCCCTATGTCGTTCTGTATTAATTATATCCAATTTATAGATGTGTGTTATCTTCCTCAGAATAAAGTAAAAGATTTGGTTATATCGGCCAACGGTCAATCTTGTTCTTTATTAATTGATGGTCATAATTCGAGTGACTTACAGCTAGCTATTCGCGGCTGCGCTGCCTGCAAACATTGGCAGCGGCCGTCATGTATATATAAAAGTATATGCTCACAAATGTATTTGGCTGATAGCAGCGAGAGCGCGAGAGAAGTTGTATATGCATTCATTGTATGTGTCTGCACTCAGGCCATGGGAATATGCTGACACTAGCACTTCCCATAAGTTGGGCTCTGAGTGGCATTCTTATTTTGGCTGCCCGCACGAGTTTATCGGCCGAGAGTTTTGTATTTCTTTAGGTACACTGTAACACAATGTTGGTGTCGGTACAGTAGGTACTCGCTACAATGATACATGCATACTACATCTCCCTCCTTTTGAAAAATAACGTAATGTAATGAAGTTATTTTCTAAAGAATATGTTTTATTTAAAAAAATTTTTTTTTTAAAGTAATAATAATGAAATTGTTTCTAGTTATTAAAATTATCTTCTAGTACTTATGTATATGAAAATTTAAAAGTTAAAGAAAATATTTTTTATCGTAAAAGAAATATAAGAAAGTTGGAAAACATTATGTTATTCAAAAATGTTGTTCTAGTCAGAAAATATTGATATCATGTTGTGATTTTTTTATATTTATATTTTTTGTAAAATTTTTTTTTTTTTATTTATTTATTTATTTATTCTATGCATTTATTCTTTGTATTTATTCTATGTATGGCCATACGTAAAAATTGTATAAAAGTTATTATGAAATAAAATTTTTTAACCTATCTTTATGAACTTTTTGTTCTTTTTTATTAATATTTGAAGTTCTTACATTTTCATTATCTCCTACTATATACCAATTACTGTATATGGTCCTGTATATTTGTATTCTAATTTGTGACCTGTTTCATTCTTTAATAAAACTTGATCTCCAATTTTTAGTTAAAAATCTAAAA